AAAGGAAAAATTGATAATATTTACCAGCGAGAGTCTCAGGATTGTGTGCATATAAATTAACTTCCTTTATTTTATTCCGAGGCAATGGCTTCTCATGTATTTTGTTGTTCAAGTAGTGAATGATGAGCTCTTCATCGAAGGGTTTGAAGCGGTAGCCTGGAGGAAGGGATTTGAAATATTCAGTGTCGTCGTCGATTAAGTTTGTGTCAGGTGTTCTGCTTCTAGGAGGCGGCTCCGAGGTAGGGGTATTTAGTACAAAATCCCGCTTCTGTTGTTCATCCGCCATAATTTGGAGGACTCTGAGTGAGGGAAAACAAAACCCCCAGGACGAGAGGGGTTAGAGAGGAAATGAGTTCGTGAGGGAGGTGTTAACTGTTTTTTATATTTATACAAGGTGGAGAGCATATCTGCAGCCTATTATTTCTCAAAGTGATAAAGAACAAATTTCAAGTGCATTTTATATATTATTATTATTGGTTGATTATTTTAAAAAAATATTTTTATTGGTTTACCTACTAGGCTTAATTATCGATTAAAGAGTTCTCTTTTAATTGGAAAAAAAAAAAATAAAACACAAAAGAGAGTTCTCTTTTAGTACTACTTCTCTTATAAGTTCGTCTGACTTTTTTTTTGGGGGGGGGGGGGGGGTAATTGAGATTTTTTTTTATATGTAATTTTTTTGTAAAGTATAATAATTGTAGTATTTGATAAAAAAAATTGATAATTATTATTCAGAATAATTACAGTAAAAAGTATTGTGTGTAAATCCATCTAGACAAAGGCCTAACACAGAGATACCCACACTAAGAAGTGTTGCTACAAGTTATATCATTAAGGATTTTATAGTCAATGTGTTGTTACGACAACTTATATAGAAATGGATTTTAATTTATTTGAATTACTTTCTTTGTTCAAAAATTATCGTTGTTCGTTAATGGTAAGTGTTTCAAAATAATTGTCTTTTTTATTTTTTAATATGGATAAATATTTTTTTTGGTTTAACCTTATCGTTATCTCTTTTATTTTACTTATTCATCCTATTAGAAATTTAAAAAGTTTCCATTTACTTTTTTTTAAAGATAATATAGATAAATGCATAAATAAGGATTCACAAATCTTTAATTTGATGAAATAGTAAGAAAACGAGACTTTTTTTGAAATAGAAAAGTTAGCTAAGACAATGAATAAAGCAAATGAATAATAATTATTTCATTTTTCTTTTATTGCATAAGAAAAAGAGAAAGAGAAAGGAAAATTTAGAAGTTGTCTATATATGGGCAAAGTAAGAGAACGTTTTTTTTTTTTTGGTGAAAAAATTAAGAGAACTTTCCTACTACTATTTTTTAAAATTAGAAGATAAAATTTTAAATTTTTTTAAAAAATATAAATATAAACTTCATATTTTAAAAAAATTTAAGATATGAACTTAGTCTTACTTGAATGACTATAGTAAAATGACAAACAATAATTTTAATTGAAATATAACAAAGTTCAAATCTTGAAATCTGAAATAGTAAATTTCGCATTCTTAACTAGAAAAAATGAAGTTTACAACCGAATTTAAAAATTTAGAAACTTTGTATCTTTAAATAAAAAATAAATTGATCTCTTTTGTTTTTCATATTTTTTACCACATTCTCCAATTATACTGTAAAAAGAAACAAATATTTTTTATGGCCCAAGTCTTTTTATTGAGTATATGGGTCAAGATTAGACTTGAGCATAATGCTCAAAATTTGCACTGGACCAAGGCTGATCCAATATCTATTTTCTTTTTATTATTTTAAAATGCTATTTTCAATTTCTTTTTAACTCATAATTGCCCTTCTGTTTAGGGTTTACAGAAACCCTAAATCTCAGTTGCGGATTTCGACCCTGCGCAGGCCTTGGCGCGAAACAACTCGGTGAGTTCCTCAATCCTTGGAGAAATCTCTAATTTTGATTTATTTACTCTCCATCTGCAAAACTTTGTAGCTCAAGATCTTGTTCGCTGAGGATTTGGTTCTAATTTAGAGGCGTTCTTTCGTTATTACTACCATGATTACCTTTGCTTGGTGCTCAATTTTTCTGATCAGTGTATATTCTCTGTTTAATTCTTACGAAATGGAGGAAAAAAAGAGGAAAAATGTTTAGTTGTAGCTTCTGTGTTTTTAGTTGTGAGTCGTGGAAATGTATGGAGTTCGATCTTTTGGCTGTACAATAACTCATGGGGTTGAATTTTATGAGAGACAGGAACGGTGATTCCTTTTTTTTTTTTTGGCTGAAATCTTCTAAATCAAAAGGGCATGTTGGTTGATGGATGGTATTGTATTGTGATCCATATAAGCGATACAGTTTTCTGTCCTTGACATCCTCTTATGGGTTGAATCGCAACTTTGGTTAATTTTTTAAATCAAATGTTTGCAGTTTTTCAACTTGTTATACTCCATTGAATAGGCAATTTGTGGATTCATTGTCCTTTTAGGTTTAGCTTTTAACATATTAATTAGGTTCTGTTGTATTTCTCTAGTCTATGTTTATAAATCCGCAATCATGTTTTAGGTTTACACTTATTTTGATCTTATTTTTATGATTTTAGTGTCCTTTTGTTATCTAATTTATTTTATTATGGTTGTGGTAGTTTGAAATTGAATCTAGGACCCATTTTTTGATTGCTTCTAGTTTTTAATTTTCTTAGAGATGGGTAAGGAAGTTAAGGCCATGGTTCCTGAGTCAGTGTTGAAGAAGAGGAAGAGGAGTGAAGAGTGGGAATTGGCAAAGAAACAGGAAGTTGAAGTCACAAAAAGGAAGAATGCTGAGAAGCGAAAGCTGATTTTTAGTCGAGCTAAGCAATATTCCAAAGAATATGAGCAGCAGGTACATATTGTTTTACATTGGTTTTTGTCAGAGTCCTTAACACACTGTGACACTGATCACTGAATTCTCAATTAGTCAGTTTCTAAAGTGCTTCCTTTCCTTAGGAGAAAGAGCTCATTCAATTGAAGCGTGAGGCAAAGTTGAAAGGAGGATTTTATGTTGACCCTGAAGCCAAGCTTTTGTTCATTATTCGGATTCGCGGGTCTGTGTTGCATGCAACTTTCACCTTAATATGAGTCTTAACAAATAATGTGCTGAATGCTGATTCATGTGTTGTAATTCATTTCTTGTTGTCAGAATCAATGCCATGCACCCTAAGACAAGGAAGATTTTGCAGCTCTTGCGTTTGAGACAGGTATTTTGGAATGGGTTCTGATTCCCCTCTCCATCTCTCGTTTTCAGTTTTCTCCAGTTTTATGTATTAAAATTTCTCTTTTAGAGCCAGGGCGGGTTAAGATGTTCTGTTACTAAAAAGCTCTTCTTCTTTTCTTTTTCTTTTTTTTTTTTTTTTTCACCTTTTCACATTGACATTTCTGCCTTCTGTGCAGATCTTCAATGGTGTGTTCCTTAAAGTTAACAAGGCAACAATGAACATGCTTCACAGGGTTGAACCCTATGTGACTTATGGGTATGTTCCTTATTTTCTAGCTCTTCCTCCCCGTCCTTTGAACTCCTCCTTCCCCTTGTATTTTGAATTTATCTTTGTGCCTTACACATTAGACATCCTTGTTTTCAGCTATCCTAATCTCAAGAGTGTGAGGGAATTAATTTACAAGAGGGGTTATGGAAAGTTGAACAAGCAGAGAGTTGCTTTGACTGACAACTCTATCATTGAACAGGTTTGTATATTTTCAAATTCTCACGTTTCATCTTGGCAGCAAGGACATGCTTTCAATTCTAGCTCATATTAATGTTACCATCACAGGCTCTGGGCAAGTACGGCATTATCTGCACAGAAGATCTTATCCACGAGATTATGACTGTAGGGCCTCACTTCAAGGAAGCAAATAATTTCCTATGGCCATTTAAGCTTAAGGCACCTCTTGGTGGTCTTAAGAAGAAGAGGAACCATTACGTTGAAGGAGGAGATGCTGGAAACCGTGAGAATTACATCAACGAGCTCATCAGAAGAATGAACTAGGTTAGCAGTTCTGTAATTTAGTTGCTCGGTGTACGCCTATTTTTGTCAGAACGATTTCGTTTGGAGTTAGAAAAAGTTTTTTTCTCTCCTGAGAGCAGAGAAAACGTCATGGTTTTTCAAATTCTATTTTGTGACTTAAATTTCATTTAAGCTTGTAATGAAAATGTTGTTAAGATGCTTGAATGATGATATTAATATCTGTTAGTCGGTAGCTTCCTCTGTTAAATTTTCAGCTTGTGTTGGATGCTTATCTTTCTTTACATCTCCTGTTAAGATACAATTCTATTTGCTAAAACCTTTTATAATGTTCTAGTCTTCTAGATCTGAAATGTTGTGGAAGCTTTATGTAAAACTTGCACACGTAAATGGGTCTTGTTTCACCCCCACGCAAAGTTGGGAACCTTCGCAATGGCTTTCCTCCTTGGCGTTGGTGACGCTCTTCTTCCCTTTTTCTTTTTCTGCACAATTTAAACAAGACTTCACCGACCCCGGACGACTTAATAATTTAAAAGGATTTGGTGTGGAGAAGGTAAGAAACCAGGGTGCGCCCCCTTTCCATGACCCCTCAAACCGCGTCCGATATCGTACCCGATAAATATCAGCCCCATCCTAAGCCAGGCCCCATCCTGAGCCAGCCCCCACCCAGCTGGACACAGCTTCATTTACCCTTCCTAGCTCTTTTTCACTTGTCTCACTTTTGCACTAATTGTTCACTATAAAAGCCCTCCCACCCCCACCCTTCTCCTCACTTCAAAACAAAACACTTCCTCTGTCTTCTTCAATACCATTCAATATGGCTTCACTCCTTACATCCAGTGTTCTGTTTGCTTTCCTTGCTTGCTATTTCATGGCTGCCTCCCATGCCGGCAACTTGTACCAGGATATTGACATTACTTGGGGAGATGGTCGTGGTAAGATCCTCAACAACGGCCAGCTTCTCACCCTCTCTCTCGACAAAGCATCCGGTTCAGGCTTCCAGTCCAAGAATCAGTATCTCTATGGCAAAATAGATATGCAGCTCAAACTTGTCCCCGGCAACTCCGCTGGTACCGTCACCACCTTCTATGTAAGTAATCAATCCTTTAGCTAAAAAAGAAAAATAAAAGAACTTCTAATCTTTATATTCATATAATTTCAACTACCTTCAATTCAGTCCATCTAATATATATTTTCTGTACAGATGAAGTCTCCAGGGACTACATGGGATGAGATAGATTTCGAGTTCTTGGGAAACCTGAGCGGTGATCCTTATATTCTCCATACCAACGTCTTCTGTCAAGGAAATGGCAACAGAGAGCAGCAGTTCTACCTGTGGTTCGACCCAACTGCAGATTTTCATTCCTATTCCATCCTCTGGAATCCACAACGCATCATGTAAGTCATGTATAGAGTGGTATACATACACTAATCTACATCCTTGATTTCCATTTTCTCCCTTCTCTTTTCCTAATTTGGGAAATTTGAATCTATTGACTCAACTCTGTTTTTTTTGCTCTGTTTCAGTTTCTCAGTAGATGGCACACCCATTAGAGAGTTCAAGAACATGGAATCCATTGGTGTTCCTTTTCCCAAAAGCCAACCGATGAGAATCTACTCCAGCTTGTGGAACGCAGATGACTGGGCTACAAGGGGTGGCCTGGTGAAAACGGACTGGACCAAAGCACCTTTCACCGCTTCATTCAGAAAATATAATGCCAACGCCTGTCTCTGGAACAATGGAGCGTCGTCTTGCTCTTCCTCCACCAACTCTAGTAGCAGTTCTTGGCTGTCCGAGGAGCTGGACTCCACAAGCCAAGCGAGGCTGAAGTGGGTACAGAAGAAATACATGATCTACAATTACTGCACAGACAACAAACGATTTCCACAAGGTCTTCCTCCGGAGTGCAAAACGTCCTAGGTAGACAAGGAAATGTGAAATTTCCCACGACTAGTTTTGATTTTGCTTAGTTTGTGTGTGTAATTATGTATTCTTTTATTCGTTAAAACTTGGTATTAATTAATGTAATGTGATTATGTGAAGAGTAGGTTTTTTTTTTTTTTTTTTGGATGAATATGTGAAGTGTTCTTGAATGTTATAAAACAACCTACTTAATTTCTTGTCTCCTTGACCTGTTCTATTTAGAACTCGCAATAATCATGTTCCTAATGAGACATGACAAGTGTATAGGTCCAAGTTGTGGGTCATCTACGAGCAATAGGTTAGATGAATTAGGTCTAATAAGTTTTCGTAAGTTAGATAAGGTCATTCATGAATCTTTCATTTCATAACTTTATAGGTTGTAACCTTTAACAAGTCGTGATCAAATATATTTACAATAAAAAATCTTAATATGTAATTCATTATAAGTGGTCAAGTTAAATTTTTTTTTTTTTTATAATGAGAATGGTTAGTAAGTTAGTATTGTTAGATATTAATAACTGAAAATTTGATCTTCAAATCTAATGAACAGTTCACCGACTTCAATGAAGTACACAGCCATCAAGTCGTGAAGTTCGTGGTCAAGTTAAATTGAATTGAATTGGTGAGTTGGGTTAATTTTTGTTTTGTCTATTTATACTGTATTTTACTAGGAAACATTCACAATTACATGAATAAGGAGTAAGTTCTCATTAACAAGATCTAAAAATACTTGTGATAGTACACATTGGTTTATATGATCATATTTAGCGTTATATTTTTATCTAGTAAATGAATCCAAAAAAGTTTATCTTAATTTGAAAAGTTTTAGTTGATTAAAAATAATTAGAAGGGTTTATTTTGGTTAATAATACACATCTCTTATGAAGTTTTTTCACTTAAATTAAAAAAAAATTTCATTAATCATCTATTTACTATATAAAATCATTTAATTAAATTTTATATAAAAATTAATTTAAGACAACTAAATCTATTAAGAGAGAATACAATTCATTTTAAAAT